TCGAAGAGAAATTCCCAAAAGCAAATCACACTTTATATATGGATGATTTGAGAATAATGACGGAAAGTAGTGAAGAAATTTGAATAATCCACAATGAAATTAATGATAAATACATCAAAAAATGGAAGTATCATCAAATAAGTGACATCTTAGAAGATGGTTCATGTCAAAATGAGTAGATAAAACTAATACAGTGAAAGCATGGAAGTCAATCAATATTAAAAAAATGCATTCCTACAATTAACTAAAATGCAAGATGGAGCAATATTTTGTGGGTATAGAAAATCAAAAATAATGAAAAATGAAAGATTGAAATACTCAACACTTTGTAAAGACAAGATAACAACAGTAGACCACATTCTACTATCTTGTATTTATCATAAAAAACCACAAATGGAGAAACATGACCATATATGCATTATAATATTGATTAATAAGAAAATACATGAAATAAACAATATAAAAAACCCCCATATGAAACAATGTTCAAATATAAAGACATCACAATGATATGGAACAAACAAATAATGCCTAAAAGTGATGGACAATATCACAAAATACCAGACATATATGTATTAGATAAAAAGAACAAAACTAGTCTATTATTTGATATGACTATTGTGGCTGATCACAATATTAATGGAGCCTATTGGAAGAAAAGAAATATGTATAAAGAATTAAAGAATATGCTAATGAAAATAGAAAAATTAAAAGATGTCAAAATAATTCCAGTAGTAATTTCAATCAATGGATTAATAAATAAAGAAAGTAATAAATTAATTAAAGAATTAAAAATTGACATTGACATCAAGAAAGAAATTAAAAACCTTGTAATAAAAAACATGATAGATGTCATGGAATACTGCGGAGATCATAACCAAACATACTCAGTAGAAATGCTACAAGATGAAGATGAAAAGATGGGATTAGTCTTAAATAGATAAGAAACAATAGAAGCTAATTCTATGAATACTTAATTAATTGACTATTATTTCATTTTAATTATTATCATCATTATATTCATTCTTTTGTTTGTTTCATTCTCCGATTTTATTCATTTCTTTCATTATTATTCTTTCTTTTTCTTGTTCATTATTTATTTCTTTTTTATTTCCTTTATTCTCGTGTTGATGTTTTTATTCAAATTTCAATTCCATTCATTTTATTCTTTTTAATTTTCATCTCTTTTACTCATTAATATTATTTATTACCATTTTTGTTGAATATAATCTCTCTTGTTAATAATTTAAAATATATGGATTTGAATTAAAATAAGAAAATATTAAAAAAGAATAAATTGAATGATAATGTTATAATCTTTTTTAATTTCAAAATGAAATAAAAGAATGGAAATACAATTTTAAACAATAAAGTATTGAAATTATAACATAGTTGAATCGTACTAATATAGAATTGTTTTGATAATATTATTAGTTTATAGGTTAATATTACAAATGTTTCATTGGAATGTGAATATTTTCGATTTTATCAATTTTATTAAATTTATTATTCAAGAAGAATATTTTATACTATTAAATTATTTCATATTTTCAATGAAGATGAATTATTGAATATGGAATATCAATTAAATATATATTATTTTATAAAGTAGAATATTCAACATATTTAAAAGAGAAAGAAAAATCAACTAAATGTCAAAATATAAAATATATATAATAGAATAGAATATTGAAATATAATACTAACAAACCTTATATCACTTTGAATTGATTTTGTTTTATATGTTTTGTAATAATAAAGAAAATGATACTCCATCATCAATTCGTAAAATATGAAACTAATATTTTAATAAATGTTCATCATTCCAAATGGATCATATACTATGTAAGTTATATTATTTTTGGTTGAGTTATTTTAATGCTTTTATACATAAGTCAATGTTTATTGAGAATAAAATAATACTAGGAATTTGTCATGTTGACAAATATAAACCTGAAGAAAAATAAGAAAATGAAATAATAAATAAAGAAACATAATTTATATTCTTATTCTTATTTAATTTAACTTCTATTTTTTATTTTTCATTAATATTTTATAATTTATTAAGATAATGAAATATAATATATTTCATATATTGATAAATAACAGTTAATAATTATGTATTGTAATTAATGAATAATTTCAAATTATTAATAAATAATGTTTTATGAATTGAAATGAAGTTAATTATTTATATTCCATTCTTCATATATTTTGAAAAACCAAGTGAAACTGATTATTTCTAAAAGAAAATATTATAGAATTGAAACATGAAATGTAATACAAATAATAGGTAATTATAGTGGATTAAATTATGTTAGTTTTTATTAAAATGAAATTACTTAATGAAGTAATTTAATAAAATAATAGAGTATGAAAAAATATCATAATAAGAATATAATATAAATAAATAGAGATAAAAAATGGTATGAAAACAAAGAAATACAAGAAGAAATATAGTAGAATGAAATAACAAAAAGAAGTACAAAAGTATAAAGAGAATGATAAAAATAATAACCAAAAAATAAGAACATAAAAATTCAGAGTGAAAAGAATGGGATATGGAAGAACAATCATTTATATATTTTCTTATCAAAATTACAAAAATAAATAAATAAATAAATAGAAAAATAGAAACTATTATTCAGAATAAACATTATAAAAACTAAACAAAATAATATATTGAAATAAATAATAAAATAAGATAATTAACAGAAAATATGATATGAGACATTGAAATGAATGCAAATTAATGAAACACGGAATAAATATATAACATAAGAAGATTGGATAAGAAAGAAGTAGAATAGATAATCAAAAAATAAATAGCTGTAAATGTGTTAGAAATAGATGAACAATATAATATGAAACTTCATATTACATAAAAATATATGAAATATGAATAAGTAACAACATTAATAAACAATTACTAAAGAATAGAAATATAATAAATAATTTAAAAAAATAAATTCAAGATATTGATCATATTAAAAATGATATAAAAATAATAAACCAAATGATAAGAAGAAATAAATGAAGTTAAGAAGAAATGCTAATGATAGAAAGACCAAATAAGAAATGTTAGAAACAACTAATGAAAAAAAAATAATAACTGTACCATTCTTAACAATAATATTTTAGTTATGCGAATAGAAATGGATTATGTTGATTAAATATAAAATATTTATTTGTTAAGAAGATGTAAATGTTAAGCAAATATTATATGGCATTTTTGAAAATACAGAAAAAAAAAAAAACAAAGAAGTAATGTCTCAAGGAAATGAAAAAAACATTAAATATTCTCATTTATTAATAATTATTTGGCAATCTAATTTATTTGATATTTTAAATACAAGTTTAACCCATAGTAATGACTTTAATATTTCTTAGTGTCATTATCATCTTTTTTTCAGTGACTAGACTTTGTTATTTTAACTGGATACAATATATATTAATCATTAAACAAATAACTTTAATAATACTGTTATAAAGAATTAATACAACATAAAATGAAACACCAAATCAAATATTTAATTATATTATTTATCATTTTCTTTTTATAAAAATAAAAAAGTTAAAATAATATAAACTTCATTTATAGATAGAAAAAAATTTAGAAATGAATCAAGCAGATAAGTAATTTTTAATTAAACAACATATTTTCAACACAAAATAAAAAAAAACAAAAAAGGATGATACTATAAAAGAAATTAAATTTAATTAGTTGATATTCTTTTAATGAAATATTTTAAAATTAACGCAAATATTATAATTCCAATAATTAAATAAATTCTATCCAACACTCTGAAAAAGAATTGATCTACTAAGTAGTTAATCCAAAGTAATGAATATGTCATTCCATACTTATCTTCATAAAAGAAGATGTTATTTGTTTTGAGTATCATTTGTAAATTTTTTTCAGGTTTAATACTTTCTAATAATTCAACTACACGTACTTCGTCTTTGTCAAAATATACCCCATATTGGTACATTAGTATAAGAGAAATTAATGAATTAACTTCATGGTTAGCTGACGCTTTAATCAAATACGATTTTCCTTCATCTATCTTATTTAAACTAAAACTTATTTTAGATAATTGTTTATATAACCATCCTTCAAAATCTTTAGATAAGTTTTTAGCCTTAGGTGATGATTGAACTTTAGTAATAAGATCTCTAACAAATAAAGATAAGTCAGCAGAATGATATTCTTTTGCTAAAGAAGATTCTGATAAAATACTAATAAGACTCATAGTAGCATAGTCATACCCAACATCTGATAAATATTTCCATAGAATGCATGAACCTTCTGGGTTAGTGTCAGATATATCATTTGCTAATTCTCCTAATAAAAAAAATGGAATAAAACTTTCTTGAAATGACTCTTCTATACTCGAAAGTATTAAACGATTATTTCTTTTCATGAAATGAACAAAAGTAGAAAGTGTTTCTATCCATATATTAGTTATTTGTATATTATTATTTTGTATTGTAACATAATTATCTCTTTCTAATTGGACTAGTTGATAGCTAGCAAGTTGACTAAACTCGCTCATACGTTGAAGTTTAGAAACATTATGAAGTTTACCATTTTTTATATCCATTGTTAACTTCATTATTAATCCATCATTACTATCATAAGAAGCAGCAAGACTATATAATTTATATGCAAACTCTTCATTATCTTTTGCATCTGACAATTTTTCACGTAAGTCATTACTTATTCCATCATACTCTACTATTCCTCCACAAAGAGCATATAAATTTCCATCCTTTAATTTTTGAGCTAAATTATATAATATGTGAAAAAGAAATGTTCTGTCAATACCTAGTTGATATAATAATTTACCAGCATTTACCTAAATTAGTCTTAATATTATATCTTTGTAATTTAATACACATACAATAAGACAAACTATAGAAGCAGGTTTTAAATCCATAATAATACCTTGATATAATAATAATGCGTTCTGAAGTATTATATTGAATTTTGATTTAAGGTTTGGTCTTTGGCTAAGCAAACTATAATAAGTAATATCATTAGAAGTAATATCTAAATGAAATAAAGGCATTGAAGGTGGGAAAAAATTAAGTAGATTCATATAATATTTAATTTTGTCTTTAGTATTTGTAGGTATAACGTTTTTAAATTCAAACTTAGTTGTTAATTTATGAAAACCTAAATTAATAGGAATAAATTGATATCCAATTGCTTGTTCCAATAAATCATGAAACCCTTCAAATGCATTATTAAATTCTTTGTTTAATATATCATATGTTTCTAGCTCTACACCATTAACTTTGGGTAATATCTTAAGTATTAAGATAAAGAAAATAAAAAAACTCTTCATAAAGACTAGTTTTCTTTAATATGAATAATATTAGTTTTATAGTTTTATTTTATTATATTTTTATTAAAATTAAATTGGAACTTAAAAAAATTACAAATGTTTTTTAAAATAAATAATATTATCTTTCTAGTATTTGTTTATTCTTGTTATGCAAATAGTTTGTTTTATATGTTTTTAAGTAATTTTTTTTTTGTTAAGAAATATTGTTCATATATTAACTTATTATTTAGCTTTTTGTTGTAAATATATTTCAGGAAAAGAATGTTGGTGCGATTCTTTTCAAACATGTGCAAAGGAATTAGCAAAAAATAATACATGTGGCTCATTTGAATGTACAGATTATTGTTATTATAGTTGTTTGTTCTAATATATGTTTAACTCTAAATGATCAGTTCATTATTTAAAACTATTTAGTTCCTACAACTACTGCATATAATTTTGCTTTCTTATTTTTTGCTTTTATATTTGTTATTGCTCTTCTCTTAGCAACAAATTGTTTTTGTTATTATTCTGGAACATTACCTTATCAATCTAAATTAAAAACTAATGACTACAATGTTACTCATGACTTAAACTTTAATGGTCCTTTTGAAGATGAACAAACATCTACATCTTTATCTATTTCAAAAGAAGATGAAAATATTTATCATCCAGAAATTCTTTAGTTTGTTCATTATTAATTCTTAAGACATTTTTATTCTTATTTATTTGTTTATTTCAAATAGGAGATTTGAAGGTGGCATGTCTGAGACACCACACAAACCCTAATACAAAATCAAATAATGAACTATCAGTTAATAATTGATTATGATGATATGTTTGGATAAGAAATGTAATAAATAATAATACAAAGAATGAAGTGAAATAATAAGAAAGAATAATAAGAAAAGAAAAAGATATAAATGATGATATTAATAATAAATGAAATTATAAATAATAATATAATGATAATGAAATATTCATTCATAAAATAAGAAAATAAAGAAAAGTGTTCTTTAAAATTAAAATAAAAATCAAATAAGAAGATAAAAAGAAGAAATAAAACGAAAGAAAAGACAGTAAAACAAATAAAATAAAATGATTTATTCACAAAACAAGAAGAAAATTTAAACAATAAGTAAAACAAAGAAATTACTCATTTTAATAATGTACAATGTGATTAATATTCATTAATCAATAAATAAAGAATATTTTTATTAACACTTAATTATCTAATTTTTATTTATTTCAAACCTATTTCTATATCACAATGTCAATGAAAATCACATAGAAATAATTGACACCAACAAATATATTTAGAAGACATTATCATGAATATATTCATAATCATTACCAAACAAATAATAGTCATAGTCACTTTATTAACATTTTATCATATTTATAAACATGATAATCATTTCTCATTTAACCACAGTTATAATAAAAATAAAAGTAGTTAATATAATCACAAATACTATAATGTAACTAGAATATTTAATTAATAATATTATGAGAACAATCAGCACAAATGAAAAAGATATAATGATAAAAGTTATTACATGAAAAGACAATGAAAGACAAAAATAATAAACAAAAACATCTTTAAAGAATGGATAAAGGAAAATGAAAAAAAATTGAAAGCATGATGAAAGAGAAAATATGTAAGAAAGAAGAAGAACAAGAAGAAATACACATGGAAAAAAATAAAGACCAAAAAGAGATATGGAAAGAAACAATACAAGAGCAATAAAATAAAGTAGAAGAAGAAACAGATAAATGAAAGGTATGAAGAAGAGAAAGAAGAAAATCAGATAAAACCCGAAAAAGAAATGAAAGAGAGGTAGAAGAAATTGAGAAAGATACAAAAGGAATAAAAAAGAAAGAAGAAGCAAAGCATAAAAATCAGAAGAAACGAAGAAGAGG